GCCTTTGTAGCCCCCCACCTCCCATTTTGGGTAGCCAATGTCCAAGTTGCCCATCCCTGTCTACTCTGTGTGTGGAGGGGGTGGGGATGATTCTTGCTGTAAGGACTTGTTTCCTCTTGGTATTAAGTTTTTAATGGTAGCAAGCCATCTGTAAAATCTTTGCGTATCTGTTGTTTTCTTATTTGTAAGTAAATTTAGTGTCTATTAGCAGATGGAGTCCTGGTGTGGCACTGTGGTGGACCGCAAAGTCGGTTTGAACCATAAGGTCAGAGGTTCAAGCTCGCCAGTTGCTCCTCAGAAACCCTATACAGAGTTGCTATGAGTCGGAACAGACTCGGTAACACCTAATGGCAATCACAGTAAAACTTACTGTGGTGGTTGTTAAGTGCCGTCGAGTCATTCTGACCTGTAGCGACCCTGTGAGGAGAAGCTGATGAGCTTGAACTGCCAACCTTGCAGTTCACATGGATTTGCAGTCTGACACATTAACCCACAGTGCCACGCCAGGTCTCCCTTCCTTACTGTGGTTGTTGTTGTTAAGTGCCATTGAGTTGATTCTAACCCATAGCGACCCCCATGCAGAGTTTCTGTACAGGAGCAGAAAGCCTCATCTATCTCCTGCAGAACTGCTGGTAGTTTCGAACTGCTGACCTTGAGATTAGCAGTCCAGTTCTTAACCACTGCACTACCAGAGTTCACTGGTTGGCAGCTTGACTTGTAACCACTACACTACCAGAGCTCCTTCACTGTGATTGTCACATTAAATATAAATAATAATAGAAAATTCAGGTCCAAGAACTTTTTTAGTTATTAGAAAGCTAGATTTGGATCCTTTATAGCTAATCTACAGTATAGCTAATTTACAGAAGCCCTTGTGATGAAGTGAGTGGTTATGTGCACAGCTGCTAATCAAAGGGTAGGCAGTTGGAAGCTGCCAGTGGTTTCAGGAGAAAGACCTGGTCATCTGTCTGCTCACTTAAAAAAATACAGATCCAGGATAATCCTAAGGGGCTGTTCTGCTCTGTCACATGGGTTCCCTATGTCTAAATCCACTTGATCACACTTAACCACCGTGCCACCATAACACATAAATTTGCCTTCTGGTGGTGGTGGTTATGTGCTGTGGAATTGGTTCCTACTCATAGCGACCCCGTGTAGGGTTTGCCTCATCTTTTTCCTGCAGAACAGCTGGTAGTCTCGAACT